TGCTCTCTTCTGACAACATCTTCTTTGCCTACATACAGGTTTCATATAAGCATAATTAAGTGTTCTGGAATTCCCATTCTTTACACTATTAGCCATAATGTGTTATGATCCACACAGTCAATAAAACAAAAAATACACATTCTTTTGATATCTTCTGCTTTCAGCCAGGATTCATCTGACATCGCTGGTGTCAAAACCTCTTCAAAGCCTAGCTTGAATTTCCTTTTTTTTATATTTTTTTTATTTTTTCTTTTAAAACAGGGATCCTACCTAACATTAATATTCCTAGTATATTTTTTGTGTCAGCCACCAAGGTTTTGAATATTAAGATAACTATACTACCAATGAAGAGGTATTTATGTTCTCTCCCTAGCCCTAGGGGTTTTTTTTGGTCAGGCACCAAGCCTTTCAATATTAAGCTAATTATACCCTTCCACCAACGAAAATAGTTATATGCTCTCCTTTAAAATAGAGCTCTAGAGCCTCACTTAGGTGGCTTCTTTTTTAAGTTTTAAAATATTTCTGGTAGGTTTTTTGTTCTTATATTTTTGTAATTTTTTTTTCTCTTTTTGTGAGATTGGTGGGGTTTTCTTTGTTTTTGTTTTTTAAGGGGGGGGATGAGGTTATCTCTAGTCTTAACTGCAAATAAATATGATGGTTTAGCCCCCCTGTCAGGATGAAATACACTACTAGAGATCCCTGTATGAGATTAGGTAAGAAAAATCTTCAGAGGGCTGCCTTTGGGGTTAGCATGGTAGAAAAATGGTACACATATGGCTTCTTCGGTTTGTTCCCACACTGAGTCCTCATTAGATTCAACGTTCCACAGGAGGAACTGCATCTTCTGGCCAGTTTTGAGGATGGGAGCATTAGCAGACCTGGCCTCTCCCTGGTTTACTTCTGCGAAGAGAGAAAAGCAGAGCTCTGACTCATGTGCAGGCTTCTCCTGCTTCCTCCCACACTTCCAAGGGCCATACTCACTGCTGGTGAGCTCCACATCCCGTGGGGCTGAGGTCTCAGGAGCCGCGTGAGAGGCAGCGGTGGTTTCTGATTGGAGCAGAGGGTTCTGCTCCCTCTCATAATTTTTATTCATTAATTTTAACACTGCTTCCGAAGTCTTTACCTGGAGAAGAAAACATTCAGCATTCCTACCTCTGCTCTACCCCAACCCCCATCCAAGGAGATGTCCAAGGCCCTTTACCTTTACATCATCTTTATGTTGAGCTACAGGGCCAATGCCCTCTTCCTTAGCCTGGTGATGCTCTTTTAGTTGTGCCCTATTGTTAAGGTAAAGGGCAGCATAGTCTCCTAGAGAGAAGGGTGGGTGCACAGATCTTAGAACTGGGGTTTCCTTCAGATCCACCATGTGCTTACCCCAGGGACCTATGACCCTCATTCCCCCTGCTCACCAATAGAAGCACTTTTCCCAGGCAGCTGGATGCAGCGATGTTCCAAATATTCCAGTCTCTCTTGTAGTTCTACTTTGTCTTTCATCACATCTATAAATCGTCCCTTGAGTCCAAACAACAGGGTCAATGTGAAGCAGTGACCTGCCCCCATCCTCTTGACCCACGTCAGGAGCAAGAACCCACACTTCCTTACTTGAAGTTTTTCCATTGCTTCCTGCAGGACTCGGTACTTCTCTCCAAGAACGTTGTCTTTTACTTCTGAAGGTGAGGGTTCAGGGTTTGGTCTATCTCTGACCTCCACGTCAGGCTCTTGCCCCCCATGCTGGGCCTGTTCTTTCTGAGACATAACTGCCTGTAGGCAAGGAGTTTGTGTACGTTTTTATAGGGAAAATATTCAGGAAATAACATAAGCAGAGGGGTAGGAGAAGCTTATCTCTTTGTCTGTGGCTCAAATGTTTAAAAGATGGAGAGGGATCTAATCCACTAGGTCCTAAGAGGAATGTGAGGATCAAGAGAAATCAGAACAGGAAAACCAAGAGATGTCAGGAAGATCAGTAATGTAAAAAAGTGAGACAGAGAAGGGGCAGGAAGGAGTCAGGCTTACCAGGGCACCTTGGCTGTTGAGCACTGACGGGGCAACATCCGCATCCTTTACCAGCATATCTTCTCCTAAAAGCAGTGAGCAAGATTTTCAGACCACCAACAAAGTAGATTGAGTGGGACCAGAAATTTCTCTGGGTCCATCTCTGCCACTACCTAGCTGTGCCATCCTGAGCCAGCTACTCCCCAGAAGAAAATGACTGGCTTTCCTAAAGCCCTCTTCTTAATTCTACAATGCTAAACCCCTTCCTTCCTCTCCTTCGAAGTGGTCTAACGTACCTTCTCTAGGGATCGCCAGGTCTCTTATTTGGGCCTCCAGTTGTTGGTTCCTCTCCTCTACAGTTGCTAATTTTTCCTAAGGGACCGGAGAGGGGCAGGGAGTGAAAAGGGGTACACATCACCAGATTCTCACACTCAAGGTTTCCACACTCAGCCAACTCCCTTACTTGGGTCCGCTGAAGCTCTTGGTTTATTTTATGCAGGGTGCCCTGATCAGAAATAAGATGTTGATATAATACTGCATATTGCTGGTAAGTTACTATATATAGTTGTAGGTAACGATAATACAGGTCTCTTTCCTCCTGTAGATTTTCCACTTGGGTATTTTTAGTTTTGACCTGTGGGAAAATCCTGGGCGTAAGAAAAGGTGGTAGCCTGCTCTGGATTCTAAGCCCTTAGGGGGTACAGAAGGGGGGGGGGGTAGGTCTTCAGGGCAAGCACTGTGAGGTTCTGCTATCTGCCCAAGCTCTACCACTTAATTATTTCCCTCACCCAGAGCTCTATGCCTTCACCCAGCCTCACTTCATAATCTACTTTGGCATCATTTCTACTTTAAGCCAGACTGACTGGGGGAAAAGTGAAGTATCAGTATCTGTTAAGTTCATGGTATGTGCCCAATAGTTTATATATGTTACTCTCACTTGATTTTTAACACCTCTGAGGAAAAGTGGGCTCTGGTGGCACAGTCTGTAGAGAGTTGCACTGGCTAACCCAAAGGCAGCCACTCAACCAGAGAAAGATGGACAGTCTCCTCTCATGCGCTCTAAGTAGGTCTGTCTTAATGGCATGGGATGAGATAGCCAGGAGCAAAGTGCTAAATTCCTTTACAGACAAGGAAACAGATGCTGAGAGTGAACAATGGAGCTGAGATGAACATCCAGGACTGAATTGAAGCAGCTCTCTCTAGGATTCAGGGACCCTAGCCCTGGTGATGATCTATGGATTGGAGCTACCCCCCTCTGAAAGTCAGAGGGCACAGGAAGGAGCTGTTATTGACTCTGCAAAGCTTGTGGTTGTTTACTTTTCCGATGCTCTCATGCCTCCATATCCCCTTCCTCCCCAACTGAAGCTGCTTCTCAGGTCTGACCCTGGCACCTAGCTCTATCCCTGGACCATCCCAAGGCTACTGCCTCTTGCCCAGCCCTTTTCAGCTGAGGCAGGCAGGGGTTACCATTTTTTTGAGCTCCTCCACGTTTTTCTGGAGCTCATCTATTTTCTTGGTAAGTTCCTTTTTAATATGCTGTTCCGCCTGAAGCGTATTGGTCAGTTCCAGCTTATCATTTGTCTGCACAGAGAGAAGTAATCAGCCACTGTCCAATGCAGTAGGAACCCCCACAACTAGGTGTCCACCTCACCTCCCACAGCTCAGGGGAGGATTGAGACAGGTTGGAAAATATGCAGCCCCCACCCCCAACTACATCTGCTTTATGGGGCTGGTTCACAGGGTGCCATCATATATGAGATCTATATACCCCATTGTACTGATGGGGAAACAGAGAACCAGAGGGTCAAGTTTTTGCCCTGCAACAAAGGACTTATCAAGTGAGGAAGGCAGGCAAGTCAGGCAGGACTGCGCACCAGTTTGACAAAACTCTCTTGCAATTCTTTTAACTGATCTTTCAAATCTCCGTTCTGGCTAGCCTCTAACGTCTCGAGAATTGCAGGCCTCAAAGACTCGAGCTCCCGCCATCGTTCTTCAACATGTTCAAGTTCATGGAGATGGTGTTCTCGGCTCTGGTACTGTAGTATCATCATTTCATAGTCATTTCTCTGATCACTAAGTTGCTTCTTTAGACAATCTAGCTCAGCATGGAGACGTTCTTCATTCTTCAGTGACCCTGAAGGAGGATTATCAGGTGAGTGAAAAGCTAAGAAATGAGGCATTAAGAGTAAGAGCTTCTTGTTTTTGTCTCTAAAAGCCTTCTTCTTGGTCCAGGGTTTCTAACTCATGCTCCTCACTTTAACTTCCTGGTTCATTGTTAATAAACCTAACACCTGTATATTCAAACTTTTATGCCACTTTCAAATAGAGTTCTTAGTCATTCTTACATTCCAGACAACTCTGGCTATTTGACAGTGGGGACATGTTGCAAGGAGGGACTAGTCCATGGAGAGGGACGTCATGCTTGGGAGGATGGAGGGACAGCGCAGGAAAGGAAGACCCTCAGTGAGATGGATTGATTCAGTGACTGGTAATGGGGGTTGGTGTGTTGGAGATGGTGAGATTGGCACAGGATAGGGCAGAGCTCAGGGCTGCTGTACATATGGTCGCTATGAGTCACGGGCGACTCAACGGCAAATAACAACAACGTCATCCCCTTTCTTGCAACTGAGAACACCAAGATGTAGAGTGGTTATAAGATTACAAGGACACACAGCAAGTCAGTGGCAACTCCTGGTACAACTCACTTTACCCTTTACCACAATGCCCCACTTCTCCACCCATCTCCCTAGGGAATACCTACGGCTAACAGCAATTCTACTCCTGGGTCTCTAGACTCAGTTTACCTTTCTCCTCTTTTAATACAGTCAACTGGGATTCCAGTTCTTGAATTTTAGCCAAGGAGAGTTCTTTTTCTTCCTTAAGGTTAAGCACCTGTCCGGAACACAAGGAGGAGGAACACATCAAGGCAGGAAGGCAGGGAGCAGAATAAGGGTTGTGAGGGCCGTCTCCCTTCTCTCTACCCTAGCTCTACAAAACACAGTGTCCCACTAAAATGTGTTCACAAGTGACCAAGCTGGACTGTGAAATACCAGCGATAGTGTATCCAGAATTACAGCAACAAGCAATCTACCACTGTACAATCAATCATCAGAAGAATGGTTAAGTAGACCTGAATTAATAATAGTTATATCAACATGCCTTTCTTGTTGTGACCTCTGCATGGAAACATGCCTCTCGCAAAGGATCCCCTTCATTCCTCTCCAGAAGAGGAGAAAAGGAAACACAAAAAGAAGCGCCTGGTGCAGAGCCCTAATTCCTATTTCATGGATGTGAAATGTCCAGGATGCTATAAAATCACTACGGTCTTCAGCCATGCACACCCAGTAGTTTTGTGTGTTGGCCACTCCACTGTTCTCTGTCAGGCTACAGGAGGAAAAGCAAGGCTTACAGAAGGATGCTATTTCAGACGGAAGCAGCATTAAGAAAAAAAAATCAAGATGGAAATTATCTCAATAAACAGAATTTTGGGGGAAAAAAATAGTATATCAACACTAGCTTTTCCTTTGTAAAAACCTACCTCAGGAACGAATGTAAGACGTTAATAAAAACAGAAAATGTGTGTAAGGGTGTGGGGGGAAGAGTAAGATATAGGAACTCTGTACTCTACCTACAATTTTTTGTAAACATAAAGGTGTTCTGAAAAAATCTATTAACACATAACACAATCACCTCTGTCTGTACACTAGGAGCAAGGGGTCAGGTTTCAATTTTACAGTTAAATAAACAAGAAATCCAAGTGGTCTCCTAAAGGGGCAGGCTGGAGAGAGGGGAAGGCAGAGGGATAGGCCTTACCTTTTTTGACAGTTGTTCCACCTGATCTTTCAAAACAGCATTATTTTCATCATCAGTTGGCTCCAGGGAGAACTGTTCAGAATCCTTCAGTAATAAGAATGGGCACAGAAGTTGGGAGGGGCTGTCACTGGTCCTCACTTGCTCCTAGCCACCTGAGGTCACCCACAGTCATCCTCCTCCCACGTTTTCCTCCGCAAAGCCTCCCTTGTTCCTTTTCTCTCTCCAGGTTTTCCTGCTTTGAACAGGCCTGACTGGTATCACTCAGAGGAGTGGTTGGAGGAAATGAAGTTAGATCTGGGAAGCCCAGGCTGGGGGAGAAAAGACCCCAGTGGAAGGAAGCTATATGAAGAAGGCATGGCTGTGTGCGGGGTCCTAATCTGTGATAATTTATCATCCTCTGGAGGTGATTCTACAGCAAGACCAGAACAAGGATCCACTCTTTCAGGCATCTTTTGGAAGGCATCCCTAGATGCCCTGGCCATAGAAAGAAAGATGAGGCTGGACTCCACAGACCTCCTTGCCCCTTACCTGCTGGATTTTACACTCTGGAGCATCTAGCTCCTCCCGTAGAGTCTTCAGATCATTCTCAACGGTTTGTAATTCTCTTTCTAACTCCACGTTCTTTTTAGTTAGTGTCTCATTTGTACAGCTTTTGCCCAGTGAGAGTGGAAGAAGACATTAGTAAAGAACAAAAATGATCACTGTAGTAATCAATCCAGAAAGAACCTTGAAAACTGACAGGGTCACAACTAACAGTCCACAGAGTTTGGGAGTTGTTGGCGGCCACAACAAGGGTTCTGGCACAGTAGGACTAAACCCTGGCTCTGCACACTCTCCAGGTCTATGTGACCTTCTCATCATGCTCACTCATATCCCTCCCACTTCCCACAATATTTAGGCCAATGCCCATGAGATACCCATCCCCACCTCTCCTCATCTTACCTCTGCTTAAGAACCTGCACCAGCAGGCTGTCTCTTTCTTTAAGTAGTTCTTTTTTGTACTGTAGATACAAAAATGTTAAGTCAAGATTTGGCAGGCAGATGTAGTGCTCAATCTAATGACAATTCCAATAATAACTAAACTACTTCCTGAATCTTACTTTTTACTTTTGCCTTCAAAGCAATTCCAAGTCTACATCCTCATTTCAATAAATACTCAGAATGGATGGGGCAGGTAAGTAATTTCTAGCTAGGTAACTTAATCAGGTAATCTTGCTGTTATTCCAGTGTCATCATCATCACTGTTTATACTGCCAACATTCACTGAGTGTTTTACCAAGGTACCATGCTAACATCTTACATAGACAATGCCACTTCATACTCTTAACCACTAGATGAGACCATTTTATGGACATAAGAAACCCAATATGAGTGATTAAGATCACAATGGCAGACTGATTTTACCACTACTAGTTTTTCCATGAGCAAGAACATAAAATGAGCAGACAGGAGTAGGGGAATTCAGTGTTTGTATTATAACCTTTTGTTCATTTTTTAAATACTCCTGCATTCACCTGGTCCAGTATTCAGAAGGCAGAGAGGTAACGTGTCTCCCAGCCATTTCACTCCTCTACTCTAAGTTGTTTTTTCGTTTTTTTTTTAATAAATCCTTTTAAGTGTCTTGGGTATATCACACACAAGCATACACACTTCCCCACTTTCTATATCATAATAAAGACATTATTCTGTAGCTTCACAATTTAAGTGCTTTATTTCTTTCTTTCTCCTGGACACTAAGCCAAGGCTCACAACCAGTTAATGTCAGGGCTGTGACTTGAACTCTGGAGCCAGTGATGACTCAGTGACAGTAACCCAACTGATCCATGGAAATCTACTCATCCCCTCAGGCTGATTCTAACAACCACACAGCTAAAGCAACTAGAAATGTCCTGTGCTGCTTCCTAGACAACAAGACACTATGACCTGCGGAAGAAAACCTGAGGCTCCCTCCGTGTGGAGAGCTGGGCTGACCACAGATGTGAGTGGTGGGCTCACCTTGTTAAGTATGTTCTTCTCTTTCGCAACTGCAGAGATTGCACGCTCAAGTTTTTCAACGCGCTGCTGCGAAGCTTTTAAATGTGCAGCAACATCCTCGAGTTCTCCTGGGATGAGACATGAAAAGGGGTAGGAACCCAAAATAGCACTGCTGACGGTATGCCAACAATGTGGCCAGTGGAAGGCTTAAAGGGTGTCCCAGAGTCCCACCTGTCTTCGCCTTTACAGCATTCTGAGTATGGTAAAGAGCAGACCGTAAGTCCGATTTCTCTGATATGAGTATGCCGATTGTTTGAATGTGGACCTATGAGAGAAAACCCAACAGATCATGGGGGGGGAAGTTAAGACGTGTTTTCTACATGACATGAGGGATTACCATAGAGTCCATGTACCTCTAATTGATGGCGAAGACAACCTTCCTCTTGAGCAATTTTAGTTTCAAATTCTTTTTTATCCTGTAGGACAAAGGAGGAAAGACATCATTTATTGGGAGGAGCAAAAACAGAGCCAACAATGATATGTGCCCCTCAGAGTACCAGCAACGTCCAGGACAGGCTCACTGATGAGCTAGATTATCAGGGGCTGGAGAGGAGGGGAGATGGGAGGGCAAAGGAAGTCTGAGGCCTAATTTCTTCCCCAAACCCATGAGCAATGGAACAAGCAAACACATTACATTTTCTCGAAGGTTCTTTAAGTCTTCATTTTGTTTTTCCTGTGGGGAAAGCAAAGCAAGTTAAGTGAAATGGTCCCCTTTCCTACAGTCCCAAGACCAAGAAAGAAGGAAGCTGTGGACCAGGAAATGAATTTTAGAAGAAGAGTTTTCACACTCTAAGGGGCCTTGAACTGACAAACACTCTTCAAGTTCCCAAGGAAGTTCTAAACTTGGGTTTTTCTTGGCTTTTTGTTGAATCTGGCTACCTTTCAAAGTAACATACACCTTTAGAAATGGAGTCTGAGAAGAGATAATAATCCCTTGTGATTTGGAAAGGTGTTTTCAGTCAACAAATATATATTGAGCACTTAAAATAGACCAGGTCCTTTGTTAACAGCAGGGGCAGAGGAGTGAAAAGGGTAACACAAGAAGCCTGACATTTGCATTCAAATAGACATTTAAATCTTTCCTTTAAAAATGTCTAAGGTTAAAAAAAAAAGTCTAAGGTCACTATCTGATTCTCCCTACTATGAAAACAAAAACCCAGTGAGAAGAAATTAGGTGCTGGGTCAGCCTGCAACATAGAGTCCTGACACCATTAGGGCTAGTGCTTGAAGGGCTACACACAACCCCCCAAAAAATGTGGGGAGGATCTGGCGGAGGAGTCTGCAGAAGAGGGAGTGTGGGGAGGAGAGACAAAAAGAGCCAAACTGTGCACAGTGCTTTGGTCCCTAAAGCAGAGCCTTACACACACCCCCCAAAAAAACACTCCAGTGTCCCTGAGTACCAGGGGCCCCAATCCCCTTTCTTCAAAACTCCAAAGAGAAATTAAAGCCCAGGGTTGGGCAGCATGGAATCAGGGAACCCCACTGGACTCTTTACCAAAGTCTCTAACTTGTTTTTTAGTTCTTTACTTGATTCCAATGTCAGAGTTGTAGGGCTCAAGATGGTCTCTGAGTTTTCTCAGTTGGCAAGGGGCGCCCAGCCCCCACTGTGTGTGAGCAGATGGGAGCAGACCTGAACAGCAGGGTCTACCTATTGTAGCTCTAGTCCAGAGCCACTTACCTCTAGATTGTAAACATCCGTTGAAGTTATACCCTTGGCATTAGTCAATGACAACTAGAAGAAAAGTAATAGCACTCATGGAGCAATTCTGTCCCATCTCTCTGTCTTCTCTACCAACTAGCAAAAAATGTTTCTCTTCCAATTTTGTTTCCCCTTGCCCTCTCTTAAAATTCCTTATGGCAACTTCTGGTTCTTAACCCCTCATATATCCTCTTCTTCAAAGTAGCCCTTATCTTATAAATTCTACATAGGCTAAAATAACGGACCAAATATTGTGGTCTAATTCCTACATTTTGAAGCATCTACAGATGACAGAAAGAAGTGAAGGAAGGAGAGGGAGAGAGATCATTAGGACTCAGAGGGGGCATCTGAGCTGTCTCAGCAGGCAAGGGGCCCCTAGCCGGTTGTGTGGGAGCAGATGGGAGTAGAGTAGCTCTAGTCCAGAGTCACTTACCTCTAGATCTTCAACATCCGTTGAAGTTACATGCTTGGTATCAGTCAACAACAACTAGGAGAGAAACAGTGCTCATGGAGAGACTTTGTCTCATCTGTCTTTTTCCTAAAACTAGCACATTTGCCCTTCCACCTTTGTCTCCCTCATTCTTCCCGTCCCGCTCTCGATCATAATGTCCCTTTTCCCCCTTGTTGTGTACCGTTGAATCAGATTCAACTTGGCACAGGACTGGCCCTCCTTCTCTAGAGAAGCATCTGGTAGACTCAAACCAAGTGCCTTTGGGATTGCAGCCAAGTGCTTTCTGGATTGCAGCGCAGCTTCTTGCCACTGGCCTTCAGAGCTCCTGCTCATAATTCCTTATATCAACTTTCCCTGGTTCTTAACCCCTCATCTTCCTTCTCTTCCTGTAAATTCTACACAGGCTAGAATAATGGACCAAGTCTTACGATCCAACTCCTACATTTCTGAGCACAGGTAGATAATAAAAAATTGAAAAGAGGGAGAGGGTTCACTGGAACTCAGGCAGGGACCCAGCCCCACTGTGTGAGGAGATGGGATGAAAGATGGACAGCAGGGTCCACTCTATGTAGCTCTAATCAAGAGCCACTTACCTCTAGCTAGGTCTTCAACATCTGTTGAGGTTTATCATTAGTATTAGTGGAAAGTAAAAGAGTGCTCAGACTATCTCCATCCACGCTTCCAGCTTCCTTTCCTCCCTAACACTTGGCAAAATTTTCTCTTCTTCCAACTTTGTCTCACTCTGCCCTCTCTTTAAAATCCCTTATATCAGCTTCTCCTGGTTCTTAACCCTTCATCTTTCTTCCTCTTCCAAGAACCTCTAATCCTGGAAGTTCTAGAGTTTAAATAATGGACAAAATCTTGTAGTCCACTCCTACATTTCTGAGCACATAGAAATAACACAAAGAATTGAAGAAAGAAAGATCACTGGGCCTCAGGAGGGGTCTCTGGGCTGTCTCAGCTGACAAGAGCTGCCTCAGCCCCTGCTGTGTGTGAGGAGATGGGAGTAGAGCTGGATAGCAGGATCCACCTATGTAACTCTAGTGCAGAGCCACTTACTTCTAAATCCTCAGTGTTAGTGGATGTCACATCTTTGGTATTAATGGATGGTAACTAGAAGAAGAGAAAGAACCTTCATGAAGATACTCTTTCCTCCAATGTCTCTAAACCACCTTTCTTCCCTACCAACTAGCAAAATTGTCTTCTTCCAACTTTGTGTCCCCCTGCCCTCTCTTAAAATCCCTTATGCCGACTTCTCCTGGACCAAATGTTGCGCTCCAATCCCCACATTTCTGAGCATATACAGATGACAGAACTGAAGGAAGGAGAGACAGAGAGAGCAGTCACTGGGGCTTGTGAGAGTAATTTGAGCTTTTGCAGCTGGCAAGGGCCTTCCAACCCCCCATTGTATGGGAGCAGATGAGAGTAGGATAGACTGCAGGACCCAACTACATAGCTCTACTCCTGAGCCTCTTACCTCCGGATCTTCAACAGCCGTTGAAGTTCGATCCTTGGTATTAATAAAAGAGGACTAGAAGAAAAGAAATAGTACTTATGAAGAGATTTTGTCCCTATTAATGTCTCCAGTGACCTTCCTTCCCTAACAAGTAGTAAAACTGTCTCTTCTTCCCACTTTGTCTCCCCGCTCCCCACCCTCTCTCTTATAATCCCTATGTCAACTTCCCCTGGTTCTTAATCCCTCATCTTTTTTCCTCTTTCAAGTAGCTCTCATTCTGTAATCTACAATATAAAATAATGGAATTCATCTTGCCATATCACTCCTACATTTCTGAGCACATAGAAATAACACAAACACTGGGGTTGGGGTGTGTGTGTGTATGTGTGTGTCTGTGTCTTTCTGAGCTGTCTCAGCTGGCAAGGGTGTGTGTGTGTGTCTGTCTGTCTTTGTCTTTCGCTGGCAAGGGTGTGTGTGTGTGTGTGTGTGTGTCTGTGTGTGTGTGTGTGTGTGTGTGTGTGTCTGTCTGTCTGTCTTTGTCTTTCGCTGGCAAGGGTGTGTGTGTGTGTGTGTGTCTGTCTTTCTGAGCTGTCTCAGCTGGCAAGGGCCACCCAGCCCCAGCTGTGTGTAAGGAGATGGGAGTAGAGCAGGGTCCACTTATGTAGCTCTAGTCCAGAGCCACTTATCTTTAAATTTTCAGTATCAGTTGATGTTATATCCTTAGTCGTCTTATAAGACTAGAAAAAAAAACAGCGCTCATGAAAAGACCCATAAATGTCTCCTATCACCTTTCTTCCCTACCAACTCACAAATTTTCTCCTCTTCCAACTTTGTCTCCTCCTGCCTTCTCCCAACTTCCCCTGGTTCTTAACCCCTCATCTTTTCTTTTCTTCCAAATAACCTGCAACCTTTAAAGTTCTACACAAACTGAAACAACAGACCAAATCTAGTGGTCCAATTCCCACATTTCTGAACACATGCAGACAACAGACAGAAATGAAGGAAGGAGAGGTAGAACAGTCATTGGGGTACTTGAGCTTTCTCAGCTGGCAAGGGGCATTCAGCTCCCACTGTGTGTGAGGAGATGCAATGCGAGCTGGACATCAGAGCTGGACTGAAGGATCTACTTACTAAGTTTATGGGGCCACTTACTTCCCAATCATCATCATCTACCAATTATTATGACACAATCTCTATGCTCTATCACAGCAGTGGAGGAGGACTAGAAGAAAGAGGACTTACAGGATGCCCCGTCGCACTCATTCAGTGGTCTTTCAGTGGCCAACTTCACTGGTCTTTTCCCGGACCAAGTAATAAAATTTTCCTTCTTTCCAATTTGGTCCATACACCTTCTTATAAGCCCTTAAACCAACTTCTCCCATTCTTAGCTGCCCTTTCTCCTCTCTCAAGCAGCTCTCATACTGTCAGAGAAGCCTTGGCAAACCCATGACCGTTCCCTAATACTAAAGCTGCCCTCCCTCTAGTGAATTCTGGCCTCACTTTCTAGCATGCTTTCCCTTTTCTAGGTGCTGATTTCTGGGGTACCTGTGATACGAGTCCAGTGAGCTGCTGGGAAATTTGACGCAGGCTCTCGGTAGATGAAAGAGATCTAGGGAAGCAGACATAAGAAAGAGGTCAGAGATAAAAGTGGCACGATGGGGAACAGAGAATTATGGGCATATCCCAACTCCCTCAGCCTCGGGACTGCTGCCTGGATGAGACACTTACTGGTTTTCATCATTGGTGGAATTAATACCATTCGTATCACAATTCTGTATGAGAAGAAATACATAGTTGGTCATTCAGTTTCTGTTAAGAACTGCACAGAGGCAGGGTGATCTAAGCTTCCCAACCTCCTTAAACTTCAAGGAAATGTCCAGTGTTTCTGGCTTTTCAACTCCAGGCCTCAGGGAACCACATTATCTAAAACAGATAATCTAAAGGAGGTCTAATCCTCTGAGCAAGAAGAGGGAGCAAATATACAGCAGGCAAAGGAGAAGCACAAACCTGAGATGTTTCTTTCTTGACATAAATAAATGGTTCATCACTATTCAATGAGTGAAAGCTATCAGAGGAACTGGTATCATCGTCCTCACTCTCAGGAGTAGCCTGGACACTGCCAGATTCTAAGATGATACTATCTATGGCAGTTTCCTTTATAGGAGCCGTGTGATCTTTGTGCACCTGTTACAAGAGAGAGCCAAGAGTTAAGAAAGCAGGCATCTTAATGCAATGGACACATGGTTGTGGAGGAGGTAGAATAGGCATTGCTGTGGTCAGAGTGCATGACACATGCGGGGAGCCACTGTGCAGTGTGGGCTTGGCTGGCCCAGGCCACTCTAGAGCATCTGAGACGGTCACAGTTCAAAGCACCACCTCCATGATCACATGGAAATCTGGCTCTCTGGGGGAAAAGGTGCCCAACTACATGCTTCTTCCTACTCTCTGGAGCTAAAAAGAAAAGAAACCAAAGCCACATTATAGCCACTATCCCCACTCCAACTTCCTTGGTCCAGAAACATCTACCTAACCAAGAAATAATCTCAAACCTGAGGTAAAAGGTCTACCCATAACTCTTGGCATTCTGGAGGCCACAGAGTATCTAGGAGCCGTGAGGAAGCCTCTCCCTCTCATCCACACCTGGACCTACTTGACAGACCAGATTCCCCACCCTAGGCCACCCCAGGTTGATCTAAGCTCAAACTTAAAAAAACAGACCAAGCCTCTTAGAGATGTCCACTGATAGAAAACAGACCAGGTGGACAAAGAAAGTGGAAATAGCCAATAAACTGGAATATGAAGAAGGAAGTGTCCTTAGGAGCCAGAACCTGACCAAGGAAGTTGAGTCTGGGGTGGAAGGAAGAGGCCACCTCTCTGTGGGGAAAGGGCTCCCAATTTTCTGAACCCTTTATCTCTTGTCTCTAAAAACCCCAATCTAATTACCTCCTCAGAGTGAATGCTAGAGAACCTGAGAAGTTGAAGACCACCATACTTATGTCTGTGCTGTGACCTTTAACCCTGGGACCTACTGTTGCCATGCTGACTGATTATACTAAGTAAAAAGAATTCTAATTCTACAGCTAGCCAGGTTTGAGACTTTGGGGAATTCTTGGGCTCTGAATTCCTTCTAGCATTTTGAGCTCCCACTGATCTCTAGGATTAGAACTAGAAAAACTGGGGAACAGAGGGGAGTGATGATGGGAGAAGTATTTCTCTTAGGACTTATATAAGGAAAAAAAGAAATTCTTCCCTAGTATTTTCTAAATAGAGTAGGAAGTCTAGGTTTTGTCACGATTATAAAATCTTAATTTTTTTTTCTTTTTTGACAAGGGGCCTTAATACAAAGAGGACCTTTGGCCCCAAGTCACTAGATCCCAGGCCCATCTGGCAGCAACTGCTCAGGGTTAAAAAGCTCCTGTGTTTGCACATAAAAAATCGTAAAATCTTTTAGCTAAGCATTTAAGTTTATTTAAGCTTTCAACTAATTTCTTTTTTTTTCTTTTTGTGCACCATCAAGTAAAATCCAACTGGCACAGGTGGAAATTGCCCCACCTCCTCCAGTGGAGCTTCTGGTGGATTTGAACCATGCGCCTTCAGGATTGCAGTACAGCTTCTAGCCACTAGGCCACCAGAGCTCCCTTCAACTGATATTTCTTTTTTTAAAAAAAAAATCTTTTTTTTTTTTAAATTTCATTATTTTTTGTGTGTACCGTCAAATCAGATCTGACTGGTACAGGAGGGACATTGTTCCTCCTTCTCGAGCAAAGCATCTGGTGGATTTGAACTGTGCACCTCTGAACTTGCATTTGCTGCTTCTTGCCACTAGGCCACCAGAGCTCGCCAGCAACTGATATTTCTTAAAAGTTCATTTCTCGGAGCTCTTGTGGCCTAGTGGCAAGAAGCTGCGCTACAATCATGAAGGCACATAGTTCAAATCCATCAGATGCTACACTGGAGAAAGAGGGGCAATCTACTCTTTCTGTACCAGTTGAATCTGACTCGATGGCACACAACAACAAAATAAAATTAAAAATTTAAAAAAAATAGTTCATTTCTCTTCAAAACATTACATCCTATTAAAAGTTTTTTCTCTGTTCATTATTCTCCCATTTCTGGAAATATCAGATCTAGAAAGGATGTCCAAATCACAAGCCTGTATCAATAAAAAGAGAAGACTTCACAGGGAAACAGATATCAAGGTAGTTTTAAAATAACAAAAATGAGACATAAGGGGTCTTTGATACCAAAGTAGAGAGAAATCTGTGCATAGAATCTCAGAAACTTTGAACAGATGACTACTTTTCTGAGGCAAAAGCAGAGGCCCCAGACTCAATAACTACAAAACAGATTTCTGACTCTTCTATGCCTATGCCCACTTTTCCATGCTGGACAGTCTGCCCTGAGTTAATAAGGTAAGGCAGTTTAAAAAGAGTAAATCCTGGGTGTAAAAAGCCCCAGGATTAAAACAATCTTCACAACACTGGCCCCACAGTCCCTTTCTTCATGCCTACATCTCCAGCAGGACCTGGCCTGGTTTCAGAGGAATCTCTGGCTTGGCAGATGTCTCCCGAGCAAGTCATGAAGGAAGTGCCAACATCACAGCCCCTCTGGATCCTGTGTGCTCCCCACAGTGTGCTATGCCAGCTCTTTGTCTTCCTTACAGGTGTTCCACAAATTCCTAATTTTGGGCTTTACCTGCTCACTTCTTCTACCTGGAGTTCCCATATCAAAAGGTACCCATTTATAACAAACTGGCCTCTAGTCTTGAATCCTCAGTTCTGCAGAACATTGTCACATTCTACGGTCCCTATTTCAGAGCAGTTAGCCTCCCTCAATGATAACCACTTTCTTTACTGTCTAGCAACTATCAAGGGCCCAACAAATATGAATACATTTCTAACTGTATTTTAAAAAGGGATCAGAGGCAGAATGCTGTAACTCATCTCCCTGGTGAACCTCAGATCCTTATAGGTAGTTCCGATGAATAAAATAACCTCACTCCTGCAGTGATACTGCAAACATTTTCTCTTAATCCTATTTTCCTTATGCTCAAACTGAGAACAAGCAATCCTAAAATTCACAAACTTCCATGTGATTCACAGTCTCTTCTGGAAGTGGATACCAGAGGGCAAGATCTAAGTTTTTCTTTTGATCTCTTTTAGTATGATTAAACACCACCAGGCACTCAATCTTGGGGCTTGAAGACCTCAAATTCCTGGAGGTTATTTCCAAATTATCTCAAGCCTTCAAGATGCACTTTACCTTCTCCAAATGACAAAAGATGTGGGTAAGGAAAAACAAGCAAGCAAACAGGCAAAGAGTAGGCATGAAAAGACTACGGTCAATGACAATATAAATTAAGTTATAGACCAAGCCCAAATCAAAAAGCCTCAGGACATGCACAGCTAGGAGAGAGCAGGACATGCAAAGCTGGGAGAGAGCAAGCAAGCCAGATGCCCAGCTGTGAGAGACAGAGCAAGCCAGAGTAGATATGGACACTGCCTCACCTTCCACTTGTCCAGTGCGGATAACACTACCCCATTAGAACAGTTAAAGTTGGACACCAGCACCTTCAGAATATCCTGAATCTATAAGAAGTGAAAAGCGAAAAACAAGGGCAAAAGGAAGAAAGAGAAAGTGGGCTTAGAAAGAGGAAGAAAAATCAGAAGAAAAAGAACAGGTGGGTTCAGAGAAACGCCAAAGGTGGTGTCAACAAAATGGCCTGTGCCACATGATTGTCACTTCTGCATAGGGCAGAGATCAACAGAAACAAATTAGCCACTGAATGATGTGCTCCCATAGTGTCACAGGTTGGGAAAGTTTTGAAAGCAACCAACCAGTGGAGCTATTTTCTTAATTTACTTATTGGGCCTGAGATACAGGGGATGAACTAAGTTGGTCTCCAATGAGAAGGAGATCCAGGGAAAGATGCAGCATTTTTCTGAGGTCACTAACCAACCACGTGAGAAGAAAGGGGAAAAAAAGGACTCAGAACTCCTATCTCTTGATCTTATAGTGCCTGAGACCCTCTTCACCACTCCCTAGGGTAATTTTCTTGGCACATCCTTAAGGGAGAATATCATAGATAAGTGGCTGTTTTCATTGGCTTCACTTCCCTGTGAGGCTAGGAATGAATAAAATAAGCATTAAGTCAAATATCAACTACCATTTGTTAAATGTTTATATTTATGAGATCTTGTTCTAAGGGATTTCATGAAAATAACACAAATAGTAGTTTTTTCTTTATACTTGTTATTTTTTCTTCATTGTTGCACATTTTCTTCCACTAGCCCACCCAGCAATGCATACTTTGATCCAGATTGTTGTCTGGATAGAGAAATTTCATTTCAATGTCAAACAATTTTTTTTTCAGAACCAAATTTTACCTAGCAGCTGACACTCCCCCCCATGCACAATCTTCCTTCTACCATGTACTTCAGCAACGCCCCCCCCAGGAACCAGGCCAAGCAAGACCCACTACCTCTGGAGTACTGCAGCCACCCAAAGTTGTTGTTTTGGGGCTGCCACCATTTTTGATGTTT